CGTTTCTGTATACGGAATACTCGCATTTCGTGATTAGCATTGTATCGTGAGATACTTACATTTTAGACGTCATTTGACCAATGCTATTTATCTATCTTGGATAATACCATTTCTAATTCTTCAATATCAAAGTTGTAAAATGAAGCTCAATATCTAACCTCTTCTTAGTATTCCTATTTCGCTAATTAACTTAACAAACTATCGTTTATCGTTAATTAATTGATTAAATAATCCTAAATCAACAATTAGCACGAAACAATTTTAAAAGCTAAATTTAACTAAAATTTAATAAATTCTTTCAAAAAATGTCGATAAATACGTTACTTTTCCTTTTTTCAAAAATATACATCATATTTACACGCAGAAATATTTACGAAAAATTACAATTTCAAATCGATTTTCGGCGAACATTAAATCATCGTCGGGTTGTTTAAAAATTGTTTAAAATCATATCCTCTATAACCGTTTTTAAAGATCTCTGAAAACTCACGAGAACATCGTTAGATCGACATCGATTTTATTTCTTATTATTGCAATAATTACGAAGAATTATAAATTCTTGCGCAACACTCGTTTCTACGATACTTCTATAACATCGAAGTAAGTTTAAAAATTCGAACAAAATTTTCAAAGATGCGTATCATCAGATATCTTCTCTCTTAACGATTCCAATTATACACTCATTAGAGAGATTACACTTATACACCTTCGGAAAACTTATCCAGCACGCAACACACGTACAAACTTTATCGCTAATACGTTGGCGAACGCTCGAGCCGAAACTCGAGTTTAGAGCCACGCTATCCAGTCACGCAATCGAACCCGTTCATCGACGTCTCCCGCGATCGTTGCCGCCGATGACAGGGGACGAACGGAGCGTACAAAATCCGTTTCCGGTCGAGCGGTTCCGCGAAATGATTTATTATGCCGTCGAGCGTGCACCGAGAGAGAGGAACCGAGCGGAGCGTGACCTGCGGTGAGCGCATTGTAGACACGGTGAATCGGCACCGAGAGAGAAGAATATGAATCCCTCCTCCTCACCCTTCAAACCCTTCCTTCCCCAGGAAGGAGAGCCCTCATTGTTATTTTATTGGAACACCCCGGGTGAATGGGGACGAGCATCAGAGGAGGGAGAAGGGAGGGGGACCAAGACCGATGGAGCATAGAAAAGGGGGTAATTATATGGGCGCCACTCGGCGCACCAGCAATCACGCGATCGTAATCCATCCTTTCAGATGGAGGCGAGGCCGACGTGTCGGTAAAGGGCCAGATGCGCATCGCTCGTGGTCCGCTTTTTATGCGGCCTCGTCCGGGATCGTATTTACACGGCCGATCCTCGAGAGATCGAGCCGATCCGCTCCGCTGCACGGATAATTGGCCACGATGTTAAATAGATCGCCCGACCAATTGCTTTTCCACCGTACTCCTGTCGCCGGCTCCTATCTCGCCAGAAAATTGGGTTATCCGCTATCTTTTTCTTCTCGATCATACGATTGTTTTATCATAGATTCCATTGCTTTGGAGAAAACGCGTTCTTATCGATAATATAATTTTAACAGATTCGTAGAGTATATATTATACGAAGCGTATATACAAACGAGAAGAAATCGGAACGACCGATCGAAATTAACTCGAAGATAACACGAATTCGATATATTCCGATATACGATTAATTTATACACGTTTTCCCACGACAAATCCTCTTTGCCAGCTTGGTACACACAACTTGGTTCGATTTCGATTCGAACGTGCAACAAGCGTCCGGTCGGGCGAGCACACGGGTTTTTGGTCACGCTGTCATCGATCCTCCCCTCCCCTTATTCCAACGTTTGTCCATCGTGACAAGGAGGGGGGGGGAGGGGGGGGGGAGGGTCAACGAAGTCGTCATTGCCGCCGCGACCGAACGAGGTTGCTTCCGGTCGGTGCGCCTTTTCCCCCGACGGAATCGCGTTAACGAAGCGTCGAAAAACGGTTTATACCGATGATGCGTCAGCGCGAATGTCCGATGTCGCATCGTTATTAGCAGAGAACGAAAACGGTGTCGGTACGTGGGGATGCACAGGCGTGCCACAGCCCTATATAAAAGGAGACGGCGGAACAAGCCGGTTAAATGGGAGTAGCGTTAGGGAGGGAAGTTACGTTGACGTTTCGGGGTGGCAACAGCGGCAGACTTCTCAATGAGTTCCTAAATCGAAAGGGCTTTCGCCCCTCGTTCGTTCACCCCCTGCGGCTCGGGATGGCACCCTCGTATAGATGGTGGAGAGAATCGGCGTGTTTGGAGAGCGAGAGGGGCGGCGGTGGTAAAGAGGGAAGAAAATAACAGATTTCCCAGACGCGCCTCATTCGAACCCCCTTGCCACGTAGACTCTCTGCACCACCGATGAGAGGCCGTGAAAGAAGAGAGAGAGAGGAGAAGAATTTTTTTTTCCATCCTCTTCCTCTATCTTTTCCACGCTCCTCTTTCTAGGCCTCTCTCTCTCTCTCTCCCTCTTCCTCAACTTACTGTGTAGAGTTGCTTCCTAACGAGAGGCAAGAAAGTTCTTACCCGACGATATCCTTCCCCCATCTTGGGCCGAGAAGAGCCCGTCCCTCCGCGCTTCTTCCTTCTTTCCTCTCTTTCTCTCTCTTCCCTCGTCTACTTTCCGCTCGCGTCCTGCTCCTTTGTCGTATGTATATAAGGGAAGAGATGGAAGTTCCTCGTGGGCAGCCCATTCCGTCGGGGAGAGGACCCTTCAACCCCGGGCCTCCGCTGCTGATTAAGGCATAAAAGGTATAAAAGGCGGAGGGATATATATATGTATGAATATATATGTGTATATATATATATACATACACATATACATGTATACAGTGCCGGTCGAGCCCCTGCTAAATGCGAGGGGAAAAGAAATTTGTTCGCCTGAGGGGGATGGGGCGATGAAGAGACCCGGGGCAAATACAACGGGACGGGATACCTAATTGTAAGTACATTATACCTTCGGTCCGCGCGGGATTATACAGCTGCTTCTTTATTGCTGACAGTGGCGTCTTTTATCCGGTAATCCCCGCTGCTTCGTTCCGATTATAGCTCCCGCGAATCCTCCTCCTCTCCCCTCGTTGTGTGGGGGACGAGCTCGCCCGTATCGCGAAAAAAAGTGGTCTCCTTTTGTTTTTCTCGCGAATCGCATAAATCGCCAATTCCACCAAGGTTTCCGTTTCAATGTACGCCCTTGTCAGGGACTTTTTATCCCCCTCCCCTCCCCGGCTGACTTGGTATTTTCGCGGAAAATCATGCAGCCTTTCTTCGATCAACCTCATTTCCCCCTCCTTCATTTTGTAAGCTCTCCCTTCCTCCGTTTCGAGAAGAAAGACATCGGTTTACCCGGCATTCGTTGAAATTGGACGAGCGAGAGTGATTAACGCGAGAAAGGGAAAAAAGATTGAAAATAATGTGTCCTCCTCCTCCTC